ATCACGTGGGGTTCTGCTTCCAGGGAGAGCCCAGGTGTGGGTGACCTTGAATCTGGGGGATTTCCTCCTCAAATATCAACAATGCACGCTGTTTCTCTTGGCTGTAGTGCACCTGGCTACCATGCTTAGGGGATGAAATCCACCTAGTGAGAGACAGAGGGGTCCCCAGGCTATGGTAACTTTCATCTTCTCAGGCAGAACATAAATATAAAGAAAAAATGCTCCTATATTGTCTCTCTGCTGCAGTGGAAGCTCACTTGAAAACACTGTTGGAGAGAGAAATGTAGCCGGTGCCCATCCTGCTGCCAAAAAGCCTGGTAACTCTGCTCACATGGAGTCTGAGCCTGCTGCAGAAGATGACAAAAGATTTCAGCAGAAATGAAGTTTTCCTGGGTACTTCAGCTTGCTGCAAAGGCACTTTATGGCTTTCTGTCATCAGTCCTGATGATGGGGTTCAAGGGTGGCCATGGGTAGTGAAAAGCAATCCCAAATAACACTTTACCACTATGCATCATCCCTTCAAAAGAATATCTCATCCCAGGAGAGGGCCAGAAGCAAGTGAAAGTGTCAGGTCATGGGGATAAGGAGGAGCCCAGCACCTGTGGCCTGCGATCAGACCTGTTGTTCTGGGCACGGGCAAGCAGTTATGAGAATTTCAGTGTCCAAGGTAGAGCTGTGGGAGGATGCGCTAATGAAAACAGTATTGAAAACATCTCTTTCCCTAATCCACTTATGTTGACAGGGCAGCCAGAGCAGTGATGAGTTTAGTTTAAAAAATATCTTTCTAAACATAAATGGCTTGACAAAATATGATTCTATTAAGAGATTATTGCAGTGCTTGAACAGCACTAATTATTGTGTTGGAATCTGAGGCACAAAGAGATTAGCAGTTATCTTCATTTCCCAAGCAGGTTGTCTGTTGTTATATAAACATGTTCTATGTTGTTATATAAATGAAATGTTCATGTATTAGGAAGTAATTGTCCTGTTTTGTTGGAGGGAGTCCTGGCTGGGAACTGCACATAGCCCAGAACCGATCCATCTAGAAAAGTAAATCTTGCAAGTTTTTACTCTGAGCGAATGGGAACAAAATACATTCTTGTGCTGCACTGGGTGCCTCACCAGGGTGTTGTTGAGTGTTGATATTTAGGAGGAAGGGAGAAGAATTGCTGTGGGGTGTGCTGGGTCCCCCATAGGCACAAATCCTCATTTCTCCCTAAGGAATTCCAAAATAATGTATGAAGCTGTCCTACTTGTGCATATGCTGAAGACACAGAGGCACATGTGTGCCATGAGTGGCATCAAACAGTGCCTGCTCCTTGGGCTGTCACCGCTGGTGCCTGAGGGGATGGGTAACATTGAAGGTGAGTATCTGGGGTTAAGCCTGCAGAAATGCTAACTGTAGCCTTCCTCTGTCCTTTAAAATTGCCTTTCTCTCTTTTTTTCCTGCTTCCTCCCCTGCTTTGTCCTTCCCCTCTTCCAGCAACGTGGACACCAAGGAGCTGTGCGGTGAGTGTGGTCCCTGTCTTGGGGCCAAAACAACCATTATGTGGCTTGTGTGCTTTCAAAGGATGCATGAAACCCATTACAAAGCTGATAATGCCATGGTGGCTACGCAGATGGGGGGTCTTAGCACTCCTACTGCTTTGCCCCTTATTCTGCAGAAACATTGGCAAAGCTTTTCTTCATTTTCTTGCAACTCAAATGAGATCAAAGCTGAACAGAGCACCTGGATCCCATTCAATAACAAGATGGAATTTAATTTCTGGCAATGTCGTGGCTTCCAGCTCACTCTGAAGTTCAATAAACTATCTGCAATACCTGCTAGATGTTTCTCCTTAGGAAAAACTGTGTTTTCTGCAGGCTGCCTAAAGTGTTCACCACCTCTACTGCACCTCCCTTGGCTCCCAGGAATTAAAGGCTGAAAAGAAAATCTCTGATAATGTTTTGTCCCACACCTTGATCAGAAAGGGAATATTTCCTGCTGGGTTTCTGAAAGGCTTTGCCTTCATGGGAGGTGACTTGTGCACAGAGCTCCTGCTGCTCACTCAGGTGTGTTTTTCCATGGATACTCGATATTGGGAAAAGTTTCCTGTGCTCCATCTTTCTGGGAGGAGATGGGGAGTCAGAGGTCTGTGGCCCCGCAGAAGGCTCATCCATTTCTTTTCCTCCCTTCCCATGCCAGGATGCAAAAGAATGTATAAAGCCACCTTGGCAGGTCTTCACCATTTACCTCCATCACTTTGCCATTAATTCCAGCCTTTAGAGGTCTGGCTAAGAGCAGGTTGCACAGCCAGAAAGGCACTTGGTGGGGTGCTTGTGCCACCCCCAGGCAGTTACTCATTATTCCTGGTACTTTAAAGACATTTCTGTCCACCTGCAGGTCTGCCTGCACCAAGGCATTGCCTTGGGTTTCTCTCCTCCCAAGTGTTTTCTCTCCTCCCTTGACTTCCTTCCTGCAGCATCCCACAGGGTTCTGAGCATTCAAGACTGCAGCAGAGGAAGCACCTTTCAGCTGGTTATCCCCACTTGTTCTTGCTTTAGTATGTGAGAAATGAATCCTTTCATAAAATCCTTTTGGTTTGCTGATGATATGATGGGCTTGTTCCCATCACTCCTTTCTCATTGTGTTAGGTCTCTTTGCCAGCTGACCCAAGAAACCAAAACCCAGCAGCTTGTACCATCAGCTTTGCCAGGAAATACAGGGATAGTAAAGTTTTGTTTGACCCCACTGTGCATTCTCCATCAGCTTGATAGCTTTCACCCACATTCCTGCATCTCCTGGGGTTGAAGTTGCCAGGAGAGGATGGAGATAAACCCATCACCTCCCACAGGAAGCTTGTACCGCCAGCTTTGCCAGGAAATACAGGGATAGCAAAGTTGTTGTTTGACCCCAGTGTGTGTTCTCCATCAGTTTGATAGCTTTCACCCACCTTCCTGCCTCTCCTGGGGATAAAGTTGCCAGGAGAGGATGGAGATAAACCCATCACTTCCCACAGGAAGCCAGAGGAATTATTGATCAGCATGAGATCCTGGCTAGATCTGTTATCTGCTGAATACTTGCCCTTGCCTGCAATTTATTTACTTGCTACTCTTATAGGTATTAGTTTAAAAATGAAACTCCATTTTGGCTAAATGAAAGCTGTGGTCTCTCTTGAAATAGGTTGTGAGTTGTAAGATGATGAAGGCATCTTAAAAGGGATTTCTTGACCCTGCAGCTTAGATGAGAAACTTGATATGGTATAATCCACATCAAGTAGCATCTTATCAAGTTCTGCAACAACCACCAGCACCTAGGCTGACTTAAGTATGGCTGTGTAGCTCTCAGAGGAGCTCCCAGTCAGAGCTGGGAGCACTGTAATACACCCAAGAGATGTGAGTACAGCTGCTAAAATGTACCTGCCACCTTTCAGTTTAAATGGAACACAGACATTGCAGGCAATGGTACAAGCTGTCCAGCGAATTGAAGTGTACTTTGCAAATGGAAGATGCACATCATCCTGTTGCAGACAACCAGGGCAGTGGGTGATGCCTTTGCTTCTCCCACACCAGCCCTGGATGGCAGTGATGCTCATCTCTTTAGCATTCATCCCATTGCTCTCTGCAGACTTGCAGGAGCAAGAACCATGTGGGATAGGAAGAGCTGATCTCAGGTGTTCATGTGGATAAATATGGCTGAAAGAGTAGAACTGAGCACTTCAGTTAAGTCAACACTGTTCTCCTCCCAGGTTCTCCGTGGTCACTCTTGAGGGCTGTGCTCTGCCCACAGCAGCTCATTCTTTCTGAAAAGCTGGCTCCAGCTTTTTGTTTCAGCACTTACAAAAAGTCTTTACCTGCTCTTTATCTGCTCAGTTTTTCTTTCCCAAGTAAAGTAATAACACAAACACACTCCAGTGAGAATAAGTTGTTTGGCAGCAAACAGCTGCTGTCAATCGTGCTGTTACATTCGGTTTCTGCCAGAATCTTCTTCCCCTTGGATATGTTCTCTGGCTGTAAATAGCTACAGGCACTTCTAATTAAGCCAAGAGAACCTAATTAGTGGGGTTGTTTCCTGGAGTTGGTATCTTTTTGCATTCCTCAGAGTTGTCACCTTGGTGTGAAGCTTCATGACTTAGCACTAAGAATAGTGCCAGTGGCTTTTAAGGAACAGCTTTTAGTCACCCAGAAACTGGGTGACTTTACATGTGTGCTGCAAATTCACTGCAAACCTCACTGCTGTGCTTCACTTCTGTCTGTTTCCACTTTAAACAGTGAATTTTAGGAGTCCATAGCTCATGCACGAAACCACACCAGGGCTCATATATGCCATGCAGCCACTGACTGCACGTGGACACGCTGGTTTTGGCTGTATTTTACATCAGTGAAGAGCGTCCAGCCACTGCATGGCAGCCTGGCACAGATCACCCTTCTCACAGGATGAAGATGGCAGGGACAAAGTGTGGACTCTCTCTCCGTAGACAACGTGCTTTTGGCCCCAGCTTGCAGCTCTGTTCTTTTCCTTTTGAGGCGTAGTTTGTTCTCGGAAGCCTGTGCAACCTGTGATTGTGAGCTGTGGTGCAAATGTGATCGGAATGTAGGGAAAGATGTAAGGCTAGTCTCAGCTTATATAAATTGGGGTGAACCTGGCAAGTATTTTGATGCTTAGAGTGGTGAAAACCCTCAAGGGAGTGGAAAGGGGATTTCTTTTGAGACTTCCTCCTCCGTGTTGGCAGTAGGAGGGAGAGATACAGGATACAGTCAAATGCAAAAGTGGGCATGGAAATAGAGCACCTGCTAAGTTATTTTCAATTGGAGCTACTGTGCCTTACATCTCTTTTTACAATGGTCCCAAAATTCTCTGCAGGAAAAGTTGTGACTTTGGCTCAGGATACATATTATAAAAAATACACTTGAAACAACTGTTTCAGATTTTTCTTTCCACCAATAAATAGACCTTGATGTCGTCTTGAAGCACTAAGTTACACCAGCAGTTCCCATCATGTCCTTCTTGGTTTTCCCAGACTATTTTGCTGACCATATGGGAGACTATGAAGATGTCTTGGCCTCACTGGAGATGCTGAACCTCTCCATCCTGAAGGCAATGGACTACACCAAACGGGTGAGTCCTCCTTACTGTGCCTTGTCTTCTGCATACTCAGAGTGATGATGCAAATGCTACTTTAACAGAGCAGCTAAATTTGAAGGTCTTTGTCGTATTCAGCTGTGTTGTCTCCTCATGCTGTTTCATTTGTGTGGGAAGTGGATCATCACAGCAACATGACAACAGTGGATTTTTTTGTGTTAACAGAGGATGATTCTTGAAAATCTTGGCCAGATTGTGAACCAAGGTGCCAATCACATGTGCATTAGAGACTTTGTGGCAGAGCATGGTATCTTCTCAGCCCCTTTCCTAGGTCTGACAGGCAGTCTTGGCTGTGCTATGGCTTACACTCTGTGTTGCCTGAAGCATGAAGGTACTGCAGCTGTCTTCACACAACACAACCTGTGGGTCTCTTGAGTGGAATTTTGAATGTATGAGTTTTTGTTAGCATCATTGGGAGTGCTTTTGGAAACTTCTTGTTGTAGAGCTGCAACTAAATACAGCTTCCATGTTGGAAGGTGTCCTGAGCTCCAGAAATTCATGTGCACAGCTGCTGTGTTAGAAACTAGAGGTCTGCATGGGGGAATACTGGGGAATAACGCAAGCACCAAACCTGAGACATAATGTCCTATTGTATATGTGCAGAGTATCCCTAGCTTCTTAAAAAATCCACCATGTACCTTAATGATACTGTTAATAACGGACTGCTAAACAGTGGACTGCTAGACAGTGGCACTGATAGATAAGAATATCAAAATTTATTTATGAATACCTAGAAAAATCTAAGCTGATGTGCCAGATAAACATCCTGCTGAGAGATTCACCATTTATTTGGTGTCTTACCAGGAAGAGAAAAGTGTTTATAAAGCTCTTGTTCCTTTGAAACCATTTTCCTGTCTTTTTCATGCCACTTAGCAGAATAATTGGGCTGTATCAGTGACATTTATTACCTCAGGATAGTAAGTCCTCCCATATTTACCTTCGATCATAATTGCATCATTCTTTTGTGCTGTGGCTAGACAAAAGTAGAGTTTTCTTCATTTGTGAGCAGTAATGTGAAGCCAAGGAAGAAGGTTTTGCTTTTTCCAAACACCTGTAAGGACTTTCCAATTCAACTCCAGCCCACTGAGTAATCCAAACTGAAATCTCCCTTTCATTTATCTTCAAAGCTAATTTATCTTACAAACTCAAATTACTCCACATTAAAGATGTGATAATGATAAGAAGTTTAAGCATTTAGAACAGGAAGCAGCAAATTTCTCTCCCCTGGTTTCCGAGTAAAGAGTCTGATTTTCTTGCTTGATCAAAATCTGTCCTTATTGCTGTTTGTGAGGAGGGCAGCATGAAAAGTGATGCGACATATTTCACATGTTGATGTCTTGCCATAATAAACTAACAGCAAAAATCTGGCCAAGCACTGACCTGTCTGAAGTGTTTGTGATTTTTTAATCAATATTATTGCAGGAGCATGGCGAACAGAGCGGGTCGAGGCAGTTTGCACGGCAGTTTGCACGGGCAGGCGAGCGGGATGGTGAGCACTCGTCGTATGACCAGGGCCGGGTCCAGGAGCTCTGTTCTGGCTGCCCCGGCGGTGGCCAGCGTAGGCACCCAGACAGAGCCGATGAGAGGGGAGGCTGCAGTGCAGAGCTCGGGGTGTAGAGAGTGCCTGCACTGGTCTGGTGAGGGGAGGGTGCACAATGGGCAGGGCTGCGCTCGGTGCTCCCTGGTGGAGGTCCTCCTGCAGCAGGGCTGAGCTGCGGGATGCTGTCAATAGGCTGCGAGATGTCAGGGAAGCTGAGAGGAAGCAGGAATGCTTGCTCCTGGCCCAGACTGTGCAGGGGCCTCGAGCTTCACCTCTACCTCATGGAGGAAAGAAGGAGGCCGTTAACCTGGGGAGCTGGGAATTAGTGACAAAAAAAAAAAAAAACAACCAAAAAAAGGAGGAAAAGGACAACCAAAAGCAAGGGGCTTCCCCCTAAATCCCCTGTCCCCACGCGGAACCGCTTTGCTGACTTGCAGGGGGCTCATGAGGAAAAGCACTCGAGCCAGAAACAGCCGGCAGATGCTCTGGTAAAGAAGATCTCTACTGGTGCTGCCAGGAAAAAGTAGCGGGTTGTAGTAGTAGGGGACTCTACACTGAAAGGGACAGAAGCACTCGTCTGCAGGCCAGACCCCGTCTCAAGGGAGGTGTGTTGCCTACCGGGGGCACGGATCAGGGATGTGGCAGAGAGGCTGCCTGCTCTAGTAAGTCCCATGGACTATTACCCACTTCTGGTGATGCATGTGGGTGCTAGGGATATGGATAGTAGTATCCTGGGAAACATAAAGAAGGACTACAGAGCCCTGGGGGAGGTGGTTATGGGCTCTGGAGCTCAGGTGGTCTTTTCATCAGTTCTCCAGGGTACAGGGGAGGACCTAAAAAAGCTAGGAGGATTGGCCAGGTTAATAACTGGTTAAAAGGGTGGTGTCATAGTCAGGGGTTTGGGTGCCTTGAACACAGGACCCAAGTTTGTAGGTCAGGTCTAGTGGGGGCTGGTGGAGCTGGTCTGATAAAGAAGGGGAAGAGCAGTTTTAGTAGGAGGTTTGCCAGACTGGTCAAGGAGGCTTTAAACTAGATGTGTTGGGGGAGGGGGGCATCATTCCATCCCAACACACGCAGTCAGTTGCCAGCACCTACAATAAATGCTTGGAGCAATGTAGGGATATCCCAGCCGCTCCAGCCAATGAGCCGGCTTCAGTTGGAGCTTGGCTCAGATGCCTCTATACAAATGCCCATAGCATGGGGAACAAACAAGAGGAATTGGAGATGTGTGCACCTCTACGGGGGTATGATATAATAGACATCACAGAAACATGGTGGAATGGCTCCTACGACTGGAGTGTTGGAATGGAAGGTTACAGGCTCTTTAGGAAAGACAGGCCTGGCAGGTGGGGAGGGGGAGTTGCCCTTTATGTTAGGGGTAGGCTGGAGAGTATGGAACTCTGTGTGGGGACAGGTGAGCAGTTAACAGAGAGTTTGTGGGTCAGGGTTAAAGGGAATATAGCTATGGGAGACATTACTGTGGGGATCTGTTACAGACCGCCTGATCAAGGAGAACCTGCAGATGAAGCACTCTATAGACAGATAGGAAAAGCCTCACGCTCACAGGCCCTTGTTCTCATGGGTGACTTCAACCACCCTGACATCTGTTGGAAGGACGGTACGGCCCGGCACAAGCAATCCAGGAGGTTCCTCGATTGTGTGGAAGACAACTTCCTTCTGCAAGTAATAGAGGAGCCAACAAGGAGAGGTGCCGGGCTTGACCTCGTGCTCACCAACAGGGAAGGGATTGCTGGAAATGTGACGCTCCAGGGCAGCCTTGGATGCAGTGATCACGAGATGCTTGAATTTGAGATCCTCAGGACAGTGAGAAGAGCGTGCAGCAAGCTCACTGCCCTGGGCTTCGAAAGAGCAGACTTTGGCCTCTTCAGGAACCTGCTCAGTAAGGTTCCATGGGATACAGCCCTAGAGGGCAGGGGGGTCCAAGACTCTTGGTTGATATTCAAGGATCACCTGCTACAAGCTCAGGAGGGCTGCATCCCAACCAGAAGGAGGGCCAGGAGACCTCCTTGGGTGGATAAGGAGCTGCTGAGGAAAATTCAAGTGAAAAAAGAGGCTTATAAAAGGTGGAAGCAAGGACAGGTGGCCTGGGAAGAATACAGGGATGTTGTCTGGGAAGCTAGGGACCAGGTTAGGAAAGCTAAGGCCCAGTTAGAATTAAACTTGGCTAGGGATGTTAAGGATAACAGGAAGGGATTCTACAGGTACATAGCAAATAAAAAACAGACTAGGGACAACATAGGTCCCCTCTGGAAGCTCTCGGGAGAGATGGCTACCCTGGATTTGGAGAAGGCTGAGGTTCTGAATGACTTCTTTGCCTCAGTCTTCACTGGCAAAAGCTCTGACCACACCACCCAAGTCTTGGAATGCAGATGCAGGCACTGTGAGAATGAAGACCTCAGGCCCACTGTAGGAGAGGATCTGGTTCGAGACCATCTTAAAAATCTGAATGTGCACAAGTCCATGGGTCCTGATGAGATCCATCCGCAGGTCCTGAAGGAGCTGGCAAATGAAGTTGCGAAGCCGCTGGCCATCAGATTTGAGAAATCATGGCAGTCAGGTGAAGTTCCCGATGACTGGAAAAAGGGAAATAGAAGCCCCATTTTCAAGAAGGGGAAAATGGATGACCCGGGGAATTACAGACCAGTCAGTCTCACCTCTGTGCCTGGCAAAACCTTGGAGCAGATTCTCCTGGAAGGCATGCTAAGGCACATGGAAAACAACAAGGTGCTTGGTGACAGCCAGCACGGCTTCACAAAGGGGAAATCCTGCCTGACCAATTTGGTGGCTTTCTATGATGGGGCTACGGAACTGATGGACAGGAGAAGAACAGTTGATGTCATCTACCTGGACTTGTGCAAAGCGTTCGACACTGTCCCACACAATATCCTTGTCTCTAAATTGGAGAGACATCAATTTGATGGATGGACCACTTGGTGGATAAAGAACTGGCTGGATGGCCGCACACAAAGAGTTGTGGTCAATGGCTCAGTGTCCGGCTGGAGACAAGTAACGAGTGGTGTCCCTCAGGGATCGGTGTTGGGACCGCTCTTGTTCAACATCTTTGTCACTGACATGGACAGTGGGATTGAGTGCGCCCTCAGCAAGTTTGCCGATGACACCAAGCTGTGTGGTTCGGTTGATATGCTGGAGGGAAGGAATGCCATCCAGAGGGACCTCAACACGCTTGTGAGGTGGGCTGATGCCAACCTCATGAAGTTTAACCATGACAAGTGCAAGGTCCTACACCTGGGTGGGAGCAATCCCAGGCACAGCTACAGGTTGGGCAGAGAAGAGATTCAGAGCAGCCCGCAGAGAAGGACTTGGGGGTGTTCGTGAATGAGAAAATGAACATGAGCCGGCTTCAGTGTGCGCTCGCAGCCCAGAAAGCCAACCGTATCCTGGGCTGCATCAAAAG